TAGCTATGACCTAATAGGTCACGCATTTCACCTCGCCGAACTTCAAGACCCGAATCCTTTAGGTCTTAAGCAAGATCTTTCCTCGTCATTTCGCGAATATTATTGTTTCCTTTTCGAAGATCGACCTCCCGGGGGACTAAGCATTCCGATTTCGAAAGCTTTTCCTACTTCAGGTATAACTTTCAACCTCAAATTCCTCAGAAAACACAAGAGAAGATAGTGAATTAACGCGAAGTATGTGCGATCTATGGAAATAGGTATTAAAACTGTTGGCCGAGACAGCTTTCAAAACGTCGTGGTGAAAAAAGGCCTACACGCCAGCTGCCTTCTCTTTCCTGGTGAGAGAAATGATCTTACTATACACCGCGCTCAACGACGTTTAGTGGAAACTTTGCAGGCTTTCTAACCACAGATAAGTTTATTTATTACATGTCAAATACATTTTGATCCTGACATTACGAGCCGCGACGCGATATTTCCAGCAGTCTCCGTGTTTACATAACTGTTGACTGCTCTTTCGAAAGACTTCCTCGATCTAAGTTCAAATCAATTATTTCAAACTTCACTCCTTGAAGAGCGAGCAATAAGCCAAGTAAAGTCAATAAAGACGAGCGTCTGATGCGATATACAATAACCGCCATTTTCTAAGCCCTATCTTCGAAAGCAATATTTTACAGAAAATTTTCTTTCTGTTGGAAGATGAGGGGGGTTGAACAGAAGACTGCATATTACCGTAATAGTAGCTCGTTTTAATCAGCTTTTCTCTCGTTACGTCCGCCCTGTCATGACAATCATTTCTCAACGACCATATTTAGGGAACATTTCCATGCTTGTACAGTGTTGGCATCTTCAAAATAATTCGATAAGTAATGTATCCATACCACGCAGTCGCTAATTTTGATTTTAGATCTTTTATCGTTTCCGATTTCCTTTCCCCAAAAAACGTCTCTGAAGAAATTGTTAATAAACGGCTTTAGTCTAACATTTCCTTCTGTTTAATAAGGCAAATGTATACCGTCTTGTCTATCTCTTGTTTGAAGTTCCAACAACCTCCGATCCGACAGACGACAATTTCGCTGTCCAGAAGCAAAACCAAATTGCTGCAACAATAATATCGAATAGAACATTACACGGAGGTAAAATGTATAATCGTGACGAAACGGTCTAAGTGGGACAGATTTCATGTAGAAATAAAAGCACTGTTTAGCAACGGGTTTTTTTCCCTATCCCCTCAACATAAATGGCATCATCTGCCGTGTTTGCTTCGAAATAAATTCTCAGCTACTTGCGCGGTCATCGCGATCGGAGATGTAGAACTTCCCTCACCGTCAAGTAGACGGTTTAGCAAAAAACAACAGCTGGGGGTTTGAGAAGGAGTTGAAAACTAGAAAAGAAAATAACGCTTTCTGATTTAGCACACACAAAAAATCGTGAGTGTTGGGGAAGGAGTAGAACACGAGAGTAGGAAATAATACTTTTGAAAGAGGTGATTTTACCCAAGAGTCATCACTTTGTAAATCAAGGAGCCATTCAAATTCCTCCGTTATTTATTCTACGCTTAGGTTCGAGAGCGCTCTGCAGCCGTTCTTTTGAGGTAGGTATGGCAACAATATAGCCAGAAGCATTTAGTTACTTTTCAAGCATATATCGTCCTTATCTCTCTAACTTCTATTCTTTCTTTGTACACTACTCTCTGGTAATCAACCCTCATCTTCAGTACTCATATGACCTATTCGCGTTCCAAGTGCCGTAAACGTACTAAAACTAAACGAAACGAGAAGTCTGTCTACAAAGCTTCTTGAGGACTGGCCCGAATTCTTTTTTGTAAAATTATTTCAGTATGACCCCTAAATGAACTTATTTGGACGAACGTTTGTTTGTTTTTTTATCACCAGTCAAGGAATCAGGATATGGGAAGGAATCTATTTTTCCCCTTTTGTTTTCTTTATTTTTAAACAGGATTTTCGCTTGTTGTGGGGTAGATGAATAAGTAGCCAGACAGACTCTCTGAAAACTTTAGACAGAGCGTCACCTTTTTATGTATAAAGACAGAACCGTGTCTTTGAACATATTATTAAATTATATTATCATTTAAATACTTCATACCAAGTTTATTGGCGACTGCAGTGTAACGGTTGGGTGCTTCTCTGTCGTACGTAGAGGAGTAGAATACGCTTGATTCCCGAGGAGAGAGAATTGTTATCGAGTATCTCAGTCTTTCGGCTGGGATGTTATCTCTCTCAGCCCATGTTGGCCCTGACAGGCGAGGTCAAAGCGCGCTACCTAAATTATTAGCTAAATAGTGTCATTGGAGATATAATATATATATACATAAACATATATATATATGTATATCGGCGGCTATATCTATATATATATATATATATATATACAGCTATGCATATATATCTATATATATATTGTATACCGTTGATAGGAGACAATTGAGATATTCTTATAATTCCTGACATTATCACGAAATAAGTAATCAGAAACCGGTGTCTGTGGTGTTAATGAATTGGACTAAAATAGTGCCCTCTCGACTCGGGTTCGAAGATCCTGTGTCGGAATCTCCGCTACTTCATGTTTAAATAAGACTCGAAAGGAATAACTGGGATAACTGATTAGGGAGTAGAACATGGCTACTGAGTTTTTTTAATTAAGTCTGTAACCTGGTTGTCAACTTGCTACCTACAACCCGCTTACGAAATCCCCAACATACCTGCTACTGTACTGTCTACCTACTTTGGTCCTCTCTTCATTTGTCTTGGCCTGCTAGAATAGGCTAATACTAACAACGTCACCTTAGCAGAGACTCTTCCCACCATTTCAGAATTTCACGGTGACATTAAAGATGGTTCCAGTAGGGACTGGGATAGCGGGTGCCCACATCCCTGGTGACTCATCAGAGCAGAGGAACGTAGAACTAACACTAACATTTTTTTTAAACTTCAACAAACAGAAGCATGTCTTCTTAATAATTATTTACATAAACACCATCCCACATCATCACTTATTACCACCATCATTTCTAAAATCACCGTTGCTCTCATATCCTTGACATACATCTATAATGATCGTAAACATCTATATGTAACAGTTACATGTTATAACAATTATGTACGTAATACACTATTGGACACTATCATACGCACATTTTTCTTCTAATCAGATGACGTCAATATTATAGAAATGGGCAAAGGGCGAAAAAAAAAAGGGTCTAGAGAAACTGTTGTCGTGTGAAAAGACAGAGGGAAAGAAGAGCGGAGGAAGACAGAGAACAACATACACAGATGGCCTGAACAACTTTGCAACAAATAACACAATGAAAAAAAAATGAGCAGATCTCGTTTTTTGTTAGTTTTAGTAAGGTTTTACGGCGCTCGCAACTGCATAGGGTCATATGAGCGCCAAGTGGTGGATGTCAACTAAGAAGTCAAAAACGGGGAATCAAGCTTACTCTGCTCACCTCTCTAGCCTTAACAGCACAAAGACTACTTCGACTATCAAGGCACCACGGAATCAGCAGTTCACTAGAGAGTGACAAACATACAAAAGAAGTAGAGGAAAAATGACGATGGTAAGGATGAGAAAAGAAAAAACAGCAGTTCCCCCTATGCTGTTGGCTGATCAGGAAGACAGAAAACAGATAGGAGTGGGGTACCATGATCGTCAATGTCTGCTCCAGACCTGGCGGCTGTAGAAGACGAAGTACAACAGTATAACGGCAAAACACTCTACAGCTGCGCGTAAAAAAAGGTGTGCGAATTCAATTACTGTTTTGTTTTGGTATTCATTAATTTTCTGTTCTGCTCCTTTTTGTATCGATTTGTCAAACAAAGCCTCGGTTTCGCTTTTTTAAAATATCTCAAAAGTAATTATATTCCGAAAAATCTCAAAATCTGTGGGGACCGCCTTCAAATACAGCAGAATATTGTCATCATAAACTGTTGGTATGGATCTGAAAGCGTCCGCTAAAAGTAGAGTTTAAATAGTTACACAGCTCAAGGAAAATGTACTGAGCGATTGAGAAAAAACTCTAGTTGTTTTAAAAAATCAGATCCAATTGATCAGATAATAAAGTGGGGGCTCTCGTGGACTAAAGGCTCGGTGTTTGCCTCTCATTTAATGGGTTTTGGGTTCGAAACCTGGCAACAACGGGGAAAAAATTCTTCTCTGGAATGTTCTGCTTTCACCCCCTTTCCTGCTCTTTAAGTTTTGTCGTCTGCTTTCGTCTCCATTTTCTGCCCTCCCCCCCCCCCCCCCCCCCCCTCCATCTCCTTTTCAAAACATACACACGCAAGCCTAAAATTGTTTTAAATCCTGTTCTAAAGACATTTACCCACCCCATCCCCAATCCCACCCTTTCACCTCAACCTTTATCACGAAAAAATTAAACAATGATTGACAAAAGTACTCACAATCAGCGCCTCACAGAATATGAGTCACTCACTGGACGAGTTGCAAGTCTCTCACCACATCGACGTCACATGGGTGAACGGTTAGTTTTCTTCTTTGTGTCCATTCAGCTGGCCGAACACTTGATTGTCCCGAGTACGAATTGAGTATGTGTCAAAACAAAGCTCGTACATAGCAAGATGGTTCCCTCAGCCAAAAGAGTGTCCACGGAAGTCCGCGCATTGCTTCAGATGGCGCTGCAGTCTTTGTTTTGAAGTTTTTTTCGTTTCTCCAGAAGAAGAATAGGGATAGCACAACTTGTTAGTTTCACTTTGATTTCTTTTTACAAAAGTTGGGTAACTGTTCGCAAAGCGGGCGCTTTTCGAAGAGGGCACCACCGGATTTTGAGGACACTTTTTTTGATTGACTCAAAGAGAGGAGTGAACCATTTTGTATGTACGATCTTTGGTCTAAGTGAACTACGTCCACAGAACCACAAGCCGAGCATTTTGACAAAAGTATAACAGACCCTTTATACCTTTAATTCAAACAATTTTATTTTAACAGGTCGTAAACGAAGACGAAAAACTTCATCGAACAAGATGGCTGACAACGTGTCCAGCCCAGTGTCATCAGTAGTTATGGCAACCAGTGTTTTTGCTACGACAATGAAGCCAAGCACGACCACTGTGTTCCGACCCTCAGAAGCCATCATCTCGAACGAAGCGCTGGAAGTTATTGAGAACCTCTTCGACGTCGGGCTTATATCTATGCTCGCCATTATGGGCATCGTCACTAATGTGCTTGATATACTCGTGTTTGGGGCTCAAGGTGAGAAGGGGGGGGGGAGGGTTTGGGTGGGAGATGTAAATGGTTGGGGGGGGGGGGAGGTTGTGAATTGTTGGTAATGGGAGTGGTTTTGGTGGTGGTGGTGGTGGTTGTGGTCAGTTTTTTGTTTATGTTGTTTACCGCTATTGTTTTGCTGTTGTTGTTGTTGTTGTTGTTGTTGTTGTTGTTGTTGTTGTCATCGTCGTCGTTGTTGCTATTGTTGCTACTGATGCTGTTGTGCTGATATCGCTGTTATTGGCGTAGCTGTGGTTGTTATATTGTTGTTGTTGTAGTTATTGCCGCTGCTTCTGCTGTTCTGTTGTTGTTGTTGATGGTGGTGGTGGTGGTGTCGTCGTTGTTGTTGTTGTTGTTGTTATTATTATGTTGTTGTTGTTATTTTTGTTGTTGCTGCTGCTGTTGTTTTTATTCCTGCTGCTGATGCCATTTTGTTGATACTGTTGTTCCTGTTTTTGTTGCTAATGCTTATGCTGTTATGCTGTTATGTTGTTGTTATTGTTGTTGTTGTTGTTGTTGCTGCTGTTGTTGTTGTTATTGTTGTTGTTGCTGTTTTTGTCATTGTTATTGCGTACGTTAGAATTATAAACTTATATTACAATAGTTGCTATTGCTGGTGTTTGTGTCGAAGCTTAAGTTGGTAACAACGACTTCTGCAATATTGTGTTAAGGAAGACACCTGTTTATTGATGATTGTTGAGATGGCATTGTTACTTTTCCCCTGGTGTTCTACATTTCCACCTCGGGGTTCGTCTACTTTGCAACTCAATCTTTCCTTTTGTCTCTATTTCAGTAGCAGTGTGTGTGTATGTGTGTGTGTTTGTGTGTGTGTCTGTGTGAGTGTTTGTGTATGTGTGTTTTCTATGTATGTCTATCTATCTATCTACCTATCTGTCTATCTATCTATCTATCTATCTATCTATCTATCTAACTATCTATCTATCTATCTATCTATCTATCTATCTATCTATCTATCTATCTATCCATCCATCTATCGCTCTTTTATTTTTATTATCTCTCCCTTTCACACAATCATATCCCTCTACTCCAAACCACCTTGATTCTCCTTCCTATCCCTCCTCTTTCTTCATACTCTTCCCCCTTTCTCCCTAACCCCTCATTTCTCAATCCCTCCGGTTCAACCCCACCCGTGCCCTCCTCCCTCCCTCCCTCCTCCCCACAACCCCCCCCCTCACCCCCGATTTTACATACACGCACACTAACATATTAAAAATATACACAATCAAATACACACACCACAAGCCTGAGTTTGTCTCTCTCTCTCTCTCTCTCTCTCTCTCTCTCTCTCGGGCCTCCCTCCCTCCTCCCCACAACACCCCCCCCCCTCTTTCTCCCTTTCTCCAGGGTTCCGAGACAGCGTCAACATCTCCCTGACGGCCATAGCCGTATGGGACTTGATCAAGTGTGTGTGTGGCATCACAATTCGGGTCTACGGACCGCTGGGGTGGGCGTCGCCCGCCTACAGACAGACCTGGAAGAACCTGACCACGCCCACTCTTGTTTATTTACAGGTATGACGTCACAATGCTTGTGCTGTTTTAACTCATTGAAGAATGTATATA